ATGTTAACAAAAACCTTATGTTCATACCATAACTCTGTTTTCTGCATTTCTTTAGTAGAAAGAGTAGAAACAGAATTTTAGTTGATTTTGACATAGTCAGATGATAGGTACAAGAAACTTCTTGAATTTTTCCAATCAACTTCCCAGATCAAAACTTTTTTTTGTTGTTGGTCATGGGGCTTGAATTCTGGACCTGGGCACTGTCCTTAAGCTCTTCAGCTCAAGGCTAGCACTCTACCACTTGAGCCATAGGGCCACTTCTGGTTTTCTGAGTGGTTTATTGGAGATAAGAGACTCATGGATTTTCCTCCTCGGGCTGACATTGAACCATGCTCTTCAGATCTCAGCCTCCTGAGTAGCTAGGATTACAGGCATGAGCCACCAGCGCCTGGCTGTCCCAGATCAAAACTTTTTTTTTTTTAAAGAAATCCACTTAATTTTCTTTTTTAAATCTAATACCTGAGTTCCAAGAATTTACTTTCTTACTGAAATGACTAGATTTCTGTATATACCAACTTTGAAGCCACACATAAGCAACTATGTCTATAGACTGAGTGGATGGTATTTGGAGGCCCACTCACTTTCCATGACTGAACTGTTCTGAATTCAAATGATTGCAGATTGCATAGGACTATGTAGAACTGTATGATGAAAGGAAAGTCATAATTTTAAAAAGGATTTCTCAGCCAAGAGCTAGTGGCTCATGCCTACTCAGGAGGCTGAGATCTAAGTATCTCAGGGCAGCAGGAAAGTTTGTGAGACCCTCTCCAATCAAGCACACACCTACAAAAAAAAAAAAAAAAGGTGGAGGCTCAAATGGAATAGTGCTAGCCTAAAGCAAAAAAGATCAGGGACAACACTCAGGTCCTGAGTTCAAGCCCCAGGCCTGGCACAAAAAAAGTGGAGAGGAGAAGCTTCTTAGTTTTGACATATAAATGAATATAACCTTCATTTTCTAACCTGAATTTTTAGCACAAACCCCAGCATATATCTCTGATACTGACTCAGTTGAAAGTACGGTATATTGATCATTTTACTGTCCCCTAAGGTTCTCTTCTTAAGCATTTGCACATAATTTCTCCTTCAAGAAAAGCTAAATGAACCAATAGTAAATCATGTTATACAAAAGAACTTAGTGTCAAGGATAGAGCTGAGGAAGTATGGTGAATTTACTGGCAATGTGTTGGTCTTCTTAATTCTAAGAAATATATTTATTCTATTTCATGAAACTACTATATGCTTGTCACTTCTCTGATTAGGTTCAGCAGTCCATAATGTAGACTGTAAGACAGTAATGCCATCAAACAAGATAGAAGTTTGCTTTTCTGTAAACTTAAAGTCAGGAGGTAGAGTCCACAGCTAGTATTGCAGCTTCATGGTCATTAGGGACACAATTTCTTAAATATATTTATGTTTCTCCATTCAAGGTATTGTTTTAGGATGTCATTTTATATTCACTGCAGACTTACTAGCTAATCTGTTATTTTTGTGGTTAACATTGTTTAGAAATACTGGCATTTGAACTCAGAGCCTGATGCTTCTTAGGTAGGTGCCCTACTACTGGAGCCACGGTCCCAGACCTTGTTTGCTTTGTTTTTGAAAGATGTTCTAAAAGGTTTAGAGTATGAATTTCAATTTATTATAATTTCACACAGTAGCAAACATTCATGTATATTGCAAGACCTTTCTATATAATTCCATTTCCTCCTTCCATCCTTTAAGCAATTTATTGTCAAACATTTTTCTTCCACATACATTATGCTCCTACAGTACACTGTTAATTTTTTCCTTTAAATTATCTTTCAAAAACTTTTCAATGAAGGAGAAAAGTTTTGCATTTACTCATTTACTTATATGTACCATTTCTGACACTTTTTTCCTTTAGCATAAATCCAATTTCCTTGCAGTCTCATTTTTCTTATGCAGAAAAGTTGTCTTAACCTTTCTTTAGTTCAGTTCTGCTGAAGACATTGTCTAAGCTTTTGTTTTCTTTAGCCTTCATTTTTGAAAACTATTTTGTCTAAAAACAGTATTTTACATGACAATTTTTTTCCTTTGAGCCCTAAAAATATGCCTTTTATTGTAGTCTGCCTTGAATTTTTATTGGAAGTATACTAAATTCTTATTTTGTTCCTGTCTACATAATATGTCTTGTTCCTCTGGCTGCTCTTAGTATTTTCTCTTTGTCGTTGGCTTTCAACAGTTTGATAAGGATGTCTCTTTTTTTGTGTGTCACCTCCACCATCCCTCTTGCTGCATCCCTTCTTTCACCTGGAACTGCAATTATGCAAGGTTTAGAAACTTGGTATTATCCTACAAATTGCTGAGGTTTTCTTTTTTCTCTGTACCATTTTTATTCTGTGCTTTATTTGGTTAGATTCTATTGCTTTGTAATGTACTTTTTTGAGTGTCTTCATTTGTTCAGTGTCTATCCTGTAAATTTTATTTCAGAAGTTATAATTTTAATCTCTAGGTTCTAGTTTTTATGACTTTAATTTCTCCTGTATATGCAGTGTGGTTATTGTACCCATTTTCACATTGTCAACTGCTAATTCTGTCATGTGCACTCGTGGTTTTATGTAGATTGACTTTATTCTTGTCTATAGATTACATTTTAGTGCTTCTTTGTGTATCCTAGTGTTCTTGTCTCCTCCCAGGCATTTTCATGATCTACCTGCGTACATCTGAAGGGCTGGTGTCTACGTGGGTTCTATTATTGATTACTTATCTGCTGAGCATACTATGCTACAATAGTATTTATTCCCATAATGCTCTTATACTGCTCTAATCTTCTTTCCAGAACCCAAGTCACATATGTAACCTACTACTCCACTTACTTTTCTATCTAGATACCCCAGAGTCATCTCAAACTCCACATATCCAAAGAGAATTCGTTATATTCCCCCTCATAGCTGTTCAACTCCTATATTCTGTGACTCAGTGAATGGTTCCTCTAGATGGTAATTATACAAACCAAAAATCTGGGAGTCATCTTTAGCTTCTTCCTTCTAGTGGATTTATGATTGCTTGCCAGCTCCTATTCTTATTCTGGGTAATTGTTTCAACTTTTTTTTTTTTTTGTCAGTTGTGGGGCTTGAACTCTGGGCCTGGCCGCTGTCCCTCAGCTCTTCAGCTCAAGGCTAGTGCTCTACCACTTGAGCCACAGCGCCACTTCTGGCTTCTTATGTGGTGCTGAGGAATCGAACCCAGGGCCTCATGCATGCAAGGCAAGCGCTCTACCACTGAGCCACCTTCCCAGCCCTGGCCACCATTTTTAGTTTATGTGCAGACATGTGACTCACTTATTAAGGCTTCTGGGAAAAGATGTTGTACTTGCTATTCTCCCCACTTTACAGTGTTCTCACATCTCTCTCCTTCCCTATTAAAATACACAAAGTCCTAGTAATCTTCACATTCATATGAGCTTTAAAGCATTTCCTGGCCTTTCTAGGGTCTGGATTAGTATGCACCTTCCTATTACAGTACTTGCCACATGGAATCTATTCATCTCTTTTGTAGAATAACCATTTTGAAAAAAAAAGGTATGTTTTGTTTACATTTTTGTATCTCTATTTCTAAGCCCTAATAAAGTGCCTGGTACATTGCAAACATTCAATACATATTTTTCCAATAAGCAAATAATTATGTGGTCTGCAGGCATCAGAATTACTGATCCTGAGATTCTTTGGAAACCAACTCTTTCTTCTGTAAATGTGTGTTTGCTTCCTGGGCATGAACCCTTTTCTTCCACAGTGTTGACTTCTAGGTAAACTGAGAGGGGAAATCAAAGAGCTTAGGAGCAAGTTATCTCTAGCCCTCTGAAAAGTTAGTAATGAGTCCTGGCTTTCTCTGCCCTTCTCATCATCACTTATGCATACCTGAATGCCCAGAATGGGTGTAGACTTAGCTGACCAGCCCAACAACATACTCTCATACGTTGGTTCAGGTTTTTCATTGCCAAATGAAAGTTGGCCAATACATATACACAAACGATTTAAAACTTTCTAGTCATCTTTTGAATTTTATGAAATTTTTATCTCTTAAAAATGGTAGGTCGGGGCTGGGAAGGTGGCTCAGTGGTAGAGCGCTTGCCTTGCATGCATGAGGTCCTGGGTTCGATTCCTCAGTACCACATAAGCAGAAAAAAAAAAGCTAGGTCTTAAGATGAACAAATCTGGAACATTTTATACTGATCAAGTAAAATACAGTGATGTGCATCATTCATGTTACCTTTGCTGGTGCTAGTTGGACATGAGTAATTGAGCAAAGAAATTATGAGATTCTGTTCATGGTGATGTTCCTAAAAATTCTATAAACTAAATTACTGGAAGCAGCCAGATTTCAATGTCTTGAATAAAGAAATCTGAATTAAGAAAGGATTCACTTAAGTCCAGAGAAAAGTGTATGTATGATTTAGGACTTAGGGAAGAAAATTAAGCAACAATAAAGGATGAACTACCCGGAGGAAGACAAATTTCCCTGAGCACTTGTGAGAGGTGAAGCTAGTTGTTGGGAGTGGAGCTAAGTAAGGACTGGCCATGGGCCCGATCCTCAACAGCTCTGAGATACAAGAACGGCCTTGTTTAGTCAACAGCAGTACAGAACACACTCGCTAGGGGAGCTGGTGACCATGGCAACGGCGCCCCCCCATTCCTCCGACCATGCGCAGTGCAGAGGGAGTGCGACCCTATCCTCCACAATGTATCCCATTTCCTCCCCCCCACTCCGTCGAAGAACTACAATTCCCAAGAGCCCTCGCGGTGCGGCGTCACCGCCTTCCCGCTGTCGTCCTGCCCAGGTCTCCAACCTCAGACCCCGCCCTCCTGCTAGTCTCCTCCCCTCCCTCCGTGTGTGTGTGTCAGTGACCCAGAGGCGGCGCGAGGCGGGGAGACCGTTGGGGGGGGGGCGGGGGGGCGCGCCGCCGCCTCCGCCAGCAGCAGCAACAGCTACAGCAGCAGCAACAGCTACAGCAGCAGCAGCAGCGGCGGCGGCTACAGCAGCAGCAGCAGCTCCAGCCTTGCGGCGTGGCTGGATCTGCCTGGAGCGCACCACAAAGCCGGCCCTTCGCCTTTTCCTCACCCACGGCTCTCGAGCGCTCGACTACGCGGCCAACTTCGCCTGGCGGGGCTGGGGCGGCTGGCGGGGAAGGAAGGCGGCGGCGGCGGCGGCGGCAGTGGCGGCGGCAGAAGGAACGCCGGGGCTGCCCGTTCGCGTGGCCCGCGCACTCACCCTCGGCCCCCGCGCGCCGGGTCTCGGGTGGGGGGGTGGCCGTGCTGACATTCGGGCCACCAGGAATTGTCCGGTGAGTGTGCGGGGCGACGCGAGCTGCGGCGAGGGGTCGCGGCGGGGTCGGGGGCCGGCGGGAGCGCAACTTGCTCGGCGGCTTTCTCCGCGGCCGAGCGTGCTGTTCGCTCGGGCTCCTGGGTCCTCCCGCCCCCGCCTCGGCGACGTCGAGTCGGGGAGGCGGCGGGAGCGGAGTTTGCGGCGCCTGCATCCCGCGCCTTCGCCGGAGGAAGCGCCTTTGTCAGGCGCGGCGCGGCGCGCCCGCCCTCCCCCGCCGCGGCCGAGCGGCGTCCGGCCCGGAGCCCCGTGCGCCCCGTGCGCCGGGCTGCGGGCGGGGAGGCCCAGCGCCGGCAAAGAGAAACAAAGGGGGCCGGCAGTGGGCTTTCCTTTTGTGTGTGCGGAGCTGGGAACTTGTTTCTGCATCCTTACGTAACGCGGACTTCCAAGTTAGTCATTCTTTTTTTATTGCTGGGATTATTGTCATCATCTCTGCGCGTCTCTCTCTCGAATTCCTTTCATCTTTGGACCTCAGAGCATTTAAAAAGAAAACAGTAATTAATTTCATCTCGGAGGCCCAAGCAGCGCGAGTGCTTACATACATACATACATACCTATATATGCCCGTTTCCGTAAGTGGGTAAACTGAGGTCCAGAAAGCTGATGGGGGTGCTTGGTCTACCGCGCCAGCTGTCCGAGGCTCCGAAGGCGTTGGTGAGTAATAATAACTCGCCGTGGAAAAGTTAAAGATGCTCATTTTGCTCACAGGTGAACCAAAGTATGAAAGAAGTCTGGGGAAATTGTTAGGTAGTTCAAACAATAGTTCTTTTTCACACAGAGTTTGAATTCGAGTCTTAAAACCTCAAAGGACTTCCTGAAAAATGTTCGGAGGGGAGAAGATACAGAAAATCACCCACTCAGCTTATCTTTTTTTTTTTTTTTATATCTTAATATGTGCGAGTCTTTTAGGAAACTAGAGAGCAGTGGTGGCGGGGGTGGGGAAGTAGAGTGTTGGGATCGTTTTTAAAATGCAATACGTTTTAGTCATTATGCACCACAGAACGTGCCTTGGTTTGAGCGTTACTTCCCATCCCTTGATTATCAGTCTATTCAGAAAACATTTCTGAGCCCTTTATAAAGAGTCGTTTTTGAACAAGAAATGAAACTTGTTTAAATATATTAAAAGGTTACCTATTTGTTTTGGATCAAAAGCGGTTTACTTATTCTTAGTCTTCCCAATGTTAGTTTGCTTTCATAGCAGGAGATCTTTTGTTTCAGATACAGCATTGTCTTCTACATTGAATCTGCAGAGGAGAAATGAGTTTATTATTCAGTTTCAATAGGAGTGTGAATTTTAGTCTTTGAATTTTGGGAAGGTTCTGTTTCTGCAGTACTATTTCAGCTTATGATACGTTTTCTTCACAGCAGAAAAATATTTTCCGAGCATAATCAGATTTATGTGCCTCAAAACGTCATGATTGTGTAAATACAGCACAGGAATTATTTTTTTTTATTTAGAACTTGTAGAGCAAAATCCTTTAAAGGGCAATTTTATTTATTTTGGTACTTTTTGTTCTGGGGTACCAAACTGAAAGGTACCAAAAAATTAAATCAAGCTTCATTTCTAACAGATTTTTATTGAGATGAGAATGAACAGAGTTATAGCAAAAGCAAATACTTTTACTTTAGAAATTTGTATTGTACAGCTGTCCCTAGATTGTACTTTCTGGTGGTTGCATCACAAAATGAAAGTGAGACATGTATTGCTTTGTACTTTTTTACACAGTCTTCTAACTTATCTCTTTTTATAATTTAAGAGACCCTGGGTTTAACACAAACAGTTGGAAAATAGAATGTTAAGTGTGTGGAAGGTTATGTGTTGTAAAGTGATTATGATTCCTCAAAGAATAAATTTAAAGCTTTAAAAAAAAGGGAACTATCTCCTAGATTTTTATGAGCTTGGTCAGTAGTGTCATATTTATTGATTTGAAAAAAGTAAGCTGGAAATCTCTTGTAGTGGCAGATTTCAGGATTTTGTGCTCCTGAAGATTGACATTTTATCTTACAGTCAGGTTATGTTGAACTTTATTTCTTAGTACTTACCAACTAGATTTATCAGAGTCATTTGTACTTTGAGGAAACCACTCAGTGCCTTTACTCAAATCCTGGAGTCTAAAGGCAAAAGTTGACTGTTGAAGCCGGGCTTTGTAGGTTTCCCAGTTTCTTTGGGATGCCTCAAAACAAATAATGAAGCCTGCGGGGGAGGGGGCGGAGGCGGCTGGAGGAAGGAGGACGGGCAGAAAACTGAGGTGAGTACTAATGAGGCAAGTGTCCAGGGGAAATCTAAGGATGTTTCCATTTGACTTAGTTTCTGCTTCCTTTGGGGTTATCAAAATGTCAATTGTAAAAGTTGTCATTTCAGAATATGCTTTATTGTGGGTTTCTAGTAGCTCAGATGATACAAGGACTATAAAACTACTACTTTGTGAACAGCTCAGGTTTTCCATAAAACCTTTATCTGGGAAAGACGTTAGTTTAAGACTTAATATTGAAAACTATTTCCCTAACGTCTAACATGCACCATACATTTTACCATTGAACATTAATATAGACCTATCACTTGAATCAGTTTACTGAAATTATCATACATGTATTTTAACTGTATATATGAAAATTTCCTAATGACCAATTTATGATGTCACTGAGATGGTTTTAGGAATTCCTTTGAAAAATCATATTCAAATTAATATCGTTTAGTTGAAGAAAATAAAACAGATATAGGAACCAGTGAAGGAAACAAAAAAATCAACAGTGAAAAAAAATGATGATACTTTAAAGAGTCTAATATTAAAGATTTCTGGCAGCATTTATAAACAGGTATCAAAATTCTAGCAGTGAATTCTACTTAGCACTTTCTGTTTACAGAATTTTTTTTTAGCCACCTTTCCCAGATTATCTCTAAATACATTATACATAGCACGTAAATAGAAGTCAGTCTTTCAAGGGATTTGTGTTTCTGGACTTTTAGTTTTTACATTTGTGGTAGTGGGCAGTTTATTGATTAAAGTTTGGTTTATTCTAGAGAAAGATATCCCCCAGATTAAAGTTGGGAAACTCCAGAGAAGAAATATTGGTCACTCAAAGATCTAGATACGATCTTCTGCTATTAGCTTTTTAAAAATGTTATCTTAAGCAGATCACTTCTTTAGTTTTGCCTTCAGAGATTGAAAATAATTGCCAGACACGTTATACTTCGTATGTCCTAAATTTTTGCTGTTCCTGAATGCATTTATAATAAAGAGAAAGCACACTTGCTTATGTGAATATAAGGGAAATTCCTTTCTTTTTTTAATGGAAATAAGAATCAAAACATGCATTTGATTCAATTTTTTTTTTAAGACAAGATCTTGCTGTGTAGCCCAGGCCTTCCTTGAACTCCATATCCTTCCTTATACCTTTGCCTTTCTAGTGCTGGGATTACAAATTTGAACAACCCCCCCCCCCAACAGCATTTCTCTAATTTCAGAAATAAGCTTTGATTACTTATTTCTATTAAAAAGGGGAGGGAAAAGCACCAATTTGTCTGATATTTGTCTCAAATCTTGTATTTTTTTCTCTGTTATAAATTTATTGTCGCAACAACAACAAAAAAATCCATCAGGTAATTAAGAGAAGTGAATTGCAAATGATCCTAAGAACACCTTTTTCTTTTTTTCAGAATATTGTACAAAGTGTTGTAGTTTAGGGTTTTGTTTGTTTGCCACTGAAAGCTATTTCAGAGAAATAGAGCTCTACATAATACTCTTATATCACCCCATAATGCTTTTATACCTCAAAATATCATTTACAGAAAATAGAATATATTATTGAGGCTTACAAATGGGAGAATCCTGACATTTGTCATACTGCCAATTACTGTTGACCAGTTATGTAGTTAAAAAAATTAATTCAGGGGCTGAGAAAGTGGCTCAGTGGTAGAGCGCTTGCCTTGTATGCATGAGACCCTGGGTTCGATTCCTCAGCACCCCATAAGCAGAAAAAAAAGCCGGAAGTGGTGCTATGGCTCAAGTGGTAGGGCGCTAGCCTTGAGCTGAAGAGCTGAGGGACAGCGCCCAGGCCCAGAGTTCAGGCCCACGACCAGACCAAAAAAAAAAAAAAATTAATTCAATATGTATGTAGTTTACTTCCTTTACAGAGCATTTCTTGCTGATTTTATTTTATAATGAACCTCTTGGGATGTTTCTAATTTAAGAAATATGCAGTATCCCCAGCTCCCCACAATCTTCTTCATTCTTTTTCTAGGTGTCCATCTGTCTGTACCCTGAGTCGTGGGGCTTGAACTCAGGGCCTGAGTACATTGCTCAAGGTTAGTGCTCTACAACTTTGAGCTACAGCTTCACTTTTAGATCTTTGATGGTCAGTTGGAATTAAGAGAGACTTTCCCGTGGGAGATAGGTTTGAACCACAATCCTCAGATCTCAGCCTCTTGAATAGCTAGACTTACAGGCATGAGCAACCAATGCCCCGCCGTTTTTCTTTTGTTTGTTTGTTTTTGTTTTTGCTGTCGTTTTCTTCTCCCGTAAACTAAGTTTCAGCTAAAATTCACCATACGTGTTTCGTTCTACTCTGGGAGAAGAGTACACTTTTGAAGGAGGCGTAAGTAGGAATATCAATCAAGTAGATACTTCCTTGAGTATCAAATCTGATTGTTCTGTGGTTACTGAGAGCTGCTTTTCCACTTAGTAGGAAAGAGTGTTAGGATTAGCATTTTTTGCTACTAGACTTGGGGCATAAATGCCAGATATTCATTCAGTGTTTACTGGGTACTTTTTATATATCAGGCACTGGTGTAGGTATAAACTGTGTGCCTACAATCTAATCCTAAGGCCTGGACAAAAAAAAAAGTAGGGCTAGGATTGTACTTTAGTGATAGAGTGTTTGTCTATCATACATGAGGCCCTAAATTTGATCCTAAGTGCTTCAAATGCTTCAGGAAGAAATTACCTAGTTTACCTAGTTTCT